AGTACAACAAAAGGTTGCAGGTTCAACTCCCAGTCACGGCACATAGCACATATCCAGGTTGTGGGTTCAATCCCCAGTCAGGAAGCATATGGGAAGTAGCCAATCAATGTTTCTCTCTCCCAACAATGTTTCCATACCTCTCTCTCTCTCTCTCTCTCTCTCTCTCTCCCTCCCTCCCTTCCTTTTTCTCTAAAAATTAATAAACATCCTCCTCAGGTGAGGATTAAAAAAATAAAATAAAATAAAAGATAGGTTAGGCATGAGCCATCTTGAGGAGACCCTGGCACCCCAAACCACTGCTTCCTGACTGAAGCCAGGGATCCCGGGCAGGAAGAGGTCATGTAGGGTGAAGTCCGGGAGATGTGGAGCAAAGGCTGAGAGCAGATTTCAATAAGCCGACTGGCAAATGACTTGAATTGCATGAAGTCCCATTCATGGGTTCTCTAAATAATCTACATGCCCACCAGATGTACCTGTGCTTGGATGCTTAGATTAGTGGTGGGAACGAGGACCAGTCAGCATTGGCCAACAGATTGTATCTGATGCTTTTTAATCCATGTGCTGGACCCCATGCTAGAACAATTAGAAAGCAGGTAAGAAGCAAGAAAAGGTCAGGAAAAAGATTGGAGGAGTACGTTTATGAAAGCTGAGGACAGTGAAACAAGGAAGGACTTAGAATAGGAGAAGCAACAGGCAGGACACTGGGTGGGGCTGCTTTGGCTCACGGGAAAGTCAGAAAAAAGGTGCCTGAGAGACAGGTTCAGGGGGTTAGCCCAGCACAAGCTGCCACTGCCCACCGCTCCCCTGGCTGCAAGTCGTGAAGTCCCTTAGAATTTAGGAGACATATGCCTGTGTGGGAAGAGTTAGAAAATTTATTGACAGCAGGATGATCTCCTTTCTCATGGAGTCAGCAGCAAGAAGAGTTAAGGACGTAAGATGGGAGCTGCATTTAAGCTTTTTTCAAATCTGAAGATGGGGCTCCTGGTACAGCTAAATGTGAGCGAAATGCTGTAAGAGGTACCAGAGGTGTCCATCACAGAACAAGGAAGAGGAATATAGCACAGTGCGGTTGAAAGCCATTTGGGGAGGAAAAGTTGTTTCCCATTTCTGCCTCTCAGAGTTTAGCTCCGGACTAAACTCGTTCTCTGAGGCAGTTACACAAATGGGGCAAAATGTTACTATTTTGTAGAGCGTGGTGGTGGGTGTAGTAGCCAGCCTCCAAGATGGCCCCAGGGACCGCTGCCTCCGGGAATTCGCACCCTCGTGTGGCACCCCGCCGCACGGTACCGGTTTGTGTGACTACTAACATATGGTGTAGCTGAAATGTTACTTCTGAGACTAGGTTCTAAAAAAAGGCTGTAGCTTCCCTCTCCCTCCCTTCCTCCATCCACCCTCTCTCGCTCTTTTTCTCTCCCCCATGCTCTGTCCCCTCTCCTGCTCTGGGGGGAGCAAGTCCTAAGAAGAGAGGCCTGCCTGTGGAAGGAGCTGAGCCTCTGGCCAGCAGCCAGCAAGAAAGTGAAACCTGCCAATAACACGAGCGCAGAACAGATTCTCCAACCCCTGCTGGGCTTTGAGATGACAGCCGCCCCAGCCTACAGCTTGCCCATACCCTCCTGAGAGGCCCTGAACCAGAACCACCCAGCTAAGCCACTCCCTGATTCCTGACCTTTAGAAACTGTGAGATATGTCTGCTGTTTAAGCTACTGCATCTGAGACAATTTGTGACATAGCAGCAGATAACTAATATGGTGAGCCGCTACCTAAATATTTGTTAGATTATTCTTCATATTCTTCTAAATGTCTAAAACATGTCATAATAATTTTTCCCATGTTTGGGATCTTGGAACTCAAGTAACGGGACCTTTAGGTGTGAGCACATGCCAAGGATTTAAACACCATCTCTAATTTAGATAAAAATTCTTATAGTCCCCTGAGAGTATTCCCATAAAATAGACAATGCTTTAGAGATGATTTATGTCATGAAATGAAATATTTCTCTGAAATCTGAATATTCTACAGTCTACAGAATCCATGGTTGCTGGTAAAAGAATCAGACAGTACTCCGTGGGAGCCCTGGTTAAAACTGACACAGATATAGAAGGGGGCTGCCAGAGGAAGAAAGATTAAAAAAAAAAAAAAAAAGAAGAAGCAATAATATTGCAATGTTCTTTACTGACACTAGATGGCGACAAAGTTTTATCATGTAGTTATATTTCAATTAACACAGTTTGGCCCAGATACACTTGTTTTCAGTGAGCAAAACTCAAAAAAGCTAAGGATACCCTTACTTGATTATTACTTTGTTAATACTATTTGAATTATTATTTCTCAGTGGAAACTAAAATCTAGTTGCTTGTTTGATTCCTGACCTAAACTCTTTTTTTGAAAGGAGGCCACTTAACTATTTAGTTTTCACTGTATAAAAATTAATAGCTTAATAATTTAAATAACTCTACTCTGAACATCCAGTCAGCTATTCCTCAGCATCCCTAAAGTTTGGGATAATTTAGGAAGAGTTGAGTCAGTTCACTTTTGTAAGATGGTACTTACGAATCAACTAGGAAAGTACTCCAATAATTACAACACATGTCTTACTCTTTTCCTTCAAATTATTTCCTGTTCTAAGAGATTGTCTAGCTTAATAATTAAGAGCACTGTCCTTGAAACCAGATTGTGTGGGTTTAAATCCTAGCTCTCTTTGGATTACATATCGGTATCTACCTAATAAATGAGTCACACAGGAATTATTATAGGTAAAGCCCTGGGAGTAATACTTGGCACTTAGAAAAGTTAGTTAAATATTAACTGTTATTACTACACATATATTCCCTGTATCCCAAGTGCAAAGTGCTATGAAAATACAGACTAAAAACTGAATCATGAAATCCAGGTCAACTTCCCAATGTTACACAATCAACAGAACCAAAGTCCACAGATAAAAGAGACAAACATTTGGAATTGAACTTTACTATTGACATAGAAGTTATGCTTCTAAAAAAAGAGGGAAAAGCTAGGACTAGAACACAAACCTAAATTTCAACCCAATGAACTTTCCAATGCACTATGACAAATAATTCTTATTTATGGACTGAAGAAACTCCTAGAAGACAAGTATTTGGCAATATTGGCTGCTGGTTAAATGACAGGTGAAATTTTGAAAGAGAATGAGGCACTTCCACGCCTCTATGTTATTCTAGTTATCACCACCCTCCGTCTCATGAGGTATTCTGCCTTAATTGGCTCAGAGAAGGAATGACATCACAGAACCCAGAAAACAGAATATTTTTAAAACTTAAGCCCAGGCATTAAGTCAAAAAGTTTAGAAGGAAAACCTGACATGTTAGAACAGAGGTTTCTCTGTTCTCAAGACTGGAAAGGTTTTGTCTGTTGGGGCGGAATAGGGAGATTTCGGCTCTTGAGAAGGAACCTTGAGTCTGATCCCAAACCGAGTCCTCTGGTCAGAAGGAGGAATAAAAGAATCCCCGGATATGTTTGGGGATTCTACAGCATAACATTTGACCAGCTCTCCAGGTAGAATCTGGGAGCCACAGGGCTCTCTAGATTCTTGTGTCCAGCTCCACAGGAGCAGATGGAAAATCTGCGTGCTGTGTCTAGGCAGTTTGTCCAGTAAGAGTGTCACAGAGTTCCCGAAGCCACAAAGTGGCATAGCGGTTGCCGGATGATGCCAGGAATGCAAAATGAGCATGGAAACAGAGTTTCTCATAGTGCAGTCGGGAAGCAAGCATTAGAATATTACCAACACAGACAGCAACATGAGCAAGGGGCTGAGAAGCAACAGGCTGAAAGACTTGGCGATTGGAAACAAGGAAGGATGCCGAAGGAGCTACCTCAGAAAGTAGGTGTACCCTCTGAGATTCTGGTTCAGCTGTTTTCACAGTCTTAAGACAGAACACTCAGTTCTACCACACAGAAGTTGGGTGCAAAGGGACCGTCCAGGGTGCTGTAGCAGCTCTGCTCCTCCAGGTCAGGCAGGAGCCCAAGTTCCTTGTATCTTGTTGTCCGCCCCTCCTCAGAAGATTGCCCTCATGCCTTTGCAGAAAAAGAGATGGCTCACCATCACCCTATCTTCAATCCAGCCTAGGAGAAAGGAAAAAAGGAATGTGGATGGCTGCGGCTATGACCTGGAAGTTCACTCATCACACTCATTCATGGCAAGCCAGCATGCACTTAAGCACATGATCATACCTGGATTTAGGAGAGGCTAGGAAACACAGTCACTGGGTGGGCAGTCATGTGTCCACCCCAAAGTGAGGCGTGGTTGTTTGTTTGTTTGTTTTTTTGACTAAAAGAAAAAATGGATTAGTGGTGATTTCTGCCACAATTAGCATCTCATGAAAGCCAGAAGCGATATAGACAGAGGGCAGGATTATACTCCTTTAAATGCCCTGACACTACACAAACCCCTTGAATCTTCGATGCAACCCTGGACACATATAGGGGGGCTGGCAATTTAGCAAAATTAAGTTTTGTTTCATCTGTGGAATGGAAATATAAAATAAAAATTAAATTCAGCTATTGAAAAAAATGAAGTTACATTTTTGTACACCTTCGTCTGTGAACAAACAATTATAACAGCTACTCTTTTTTAAAAATGTTATTTATTTATCTTTAGAGGGGAAGGAAAGGAGAGAGGGAGAGAAATATCAATGTATGGTTGCCTCTGGTGAGTCCCCTGCTGGGAACTGGCCTGCAACCCAGGCACGTGCCCTGACTGGGAATCAAACTGCAGTTCTCTGGTTCACAGACCCGCACTCAATCCACTGAGCTACACCAGCCAGGGCTATAACAGCTACTCTTAATTCATGTTACTTGAATAGATTGAAAACATAAAGCTGTAGTTCTTTACAAAACCTTGACAAATTTTGATTTTGTAATTATTATGATATTGTAACAATATAATAACAATGAAGACATTGTTTGATATGTTTTAAATCTTCACTATTCCAAATAATTTTGCCAAATTTACATGGTAGGGCAAAAGGATGTTTACAGTTGTGCTTATGGAAAATAATACAATAATTAATAAATAAAATACAACAATAAACTGTTTCATGTACTCATAACTGTAAACCTACTTTTGCCACACCCTACATTTATTTGTTTATTTTCAAATTCCAATGCAATGGATTCCCAAAGTCTTTTCCAGAGATGGCTAACCCAGGCGTGACGTAATCAGGCAGTCTGTCTGTAGACTGGCCAGTGCGTTTCACGTGGCCTTGAACAAGGCCTCTACCCAAACACACAAGGAAGATAAACAAGCCAATCAGATTGTCCCTCCTGAACACCACCTCTGAGATTGGAGAGAGTGTGATAGAGCTGGTTAGTGAAGAAAAGAAGTCCAGAATCAGGCCATGGGTCAGCAGCACCAACAACTGAATAAATGTGTGATGTCGGACAGAAATCCCTATAGGTACTTGGGCTGTAGAGGCGCAAAGCGATTGATGTGCTTCCCTGCATTTTCTACTCTTCCTGGCAGTTAGGTTAGAGACCTGGGTCGCATCCTGGCCTGCGGAAAGGAAAGCAGAAGTGTCAGGCACCGGTGAGATCTAGGATGACTCACTCCTTCAGCTCTTCTATCCGTCCTGCACTGACTTAGGAAGCCACGGATCAGTATGGTAGCGTCACAAGATGGAGGAACCCAGGGTCTCTGAGTGGAAAAGAAGTCTTGCTGATCAACTATCATTTTGTGTGAATGAGAAATAAATTCGTGTTGTGTAAAGTCCTTTAGATTTCCGAGTTGGTCTGTCGTGGAAGCTAGTGGGTAGTTATTCCGACGAATAAACAAACATTCTGGTGTTTCCCATTCTGTGATGATTCCAGTGATAATAACTGGAGGTTTACAACTGGTTAAGAAGAACCAGTAGGTCTGGGACAGTGATTTGTTCACACCGGGTGTTTGTCCTGACCACTGGCAGGTTTCGTCCTGAATGTGCCACTGCCATCACGTTTGGTAAAGATGTCACATGTTGCCCTGTTTATAAGGAAAGTATTTACTTGTAGTCTTCAATTTATACTATACGTCAAAGCTTAAAAATGTAGAATATATTTTTAAATTGTAAGTCAGAAACTATAAATTAATTAACCAAATCCAAGAGACTTACTATGTAGATTAAACATAATAATAAAAAGCTTAAATACAGGAGAAGACAATGAGACAAACTCTAGAGGAAAAGAGAAGAAATTAAATATTTCTGTCTTAATTTATTAAGATTAAGCAATGAAAACTGGAAATAGAGAATCATTATCTATACATGTGAAAGGAAATAATTTAATATTTAGGTACCACATCAATTATTTGGTAAAATTAAGGCATTTCAAGAAGAAGTCATTTTACCTTGCTTCCCAGTAGATTACTTGTGCCTATTTGTTACTTGAACATTACTTAAGTAAACTTAGAACAGTTGTAATATATTTCATATACATTCCTGAAATTAAAATCTGAATTTCTTATACAGCTAGAATAGCAAAAGACATAATCTAGCCACTAACAAGAATGTTTCTAAGGATTAAATCCCATTTTCATTTGATTCTTTCTCTCAAGACAAAAAGACTATGCATCATACTTTTGTATAAAGAGAACACCACCTCTCAAGTTGCTTGTCTTTGCAGACTTATTATTGCAGTTAGTAGAGTATTGTAGAACACACTTGTATCTACATAATAAAAATATCAACAAAAATGCATGATACATTATATTATATAAATCTTTAATCTTCGATTATATACTAAAATATTTTCATCTAATATGCTAATAATAAGATAAAAGATTGTTGTTATTACAGAATGCAAAGTGGAATTCTGTCATGTAAATATGTATTCCAGTGAACCAAAGGGTCGCTGGTTCGATGATCAGTCAGGGCACATGCCTGGGTCATGGGCCAGGTTTCCTGGCGTGAAGCACTGGGGCCCCCGAAAGGTAAATAAGAATTCTGTTATAGCCTACTTTCCCCACAAGGTTAATAGCATGACCCATTGAGGTAGGAATTATTTTTAAGCAATAAAAGAACAAAAACATTAATTCCCAGGCCAAGAGTTGATTGAGAACCTAAATATGGCTCAAGTTCTTTTCTTGAAAATTAACTTCTAGTGGAACAATTCTATACTGAAATAGATGTTTGAACAGCCTATTAAGGTTCTACTGTTCGGGCCTGTAGTACTTCCCTAGAGGTTACAACACACTTTTAAATACACAGATTCCCTGAACAGTTCTGTGGAATAGAGGACAGAAATTCTTATTACGGTCCACAAACCTGGCCGAGTGACTCTTCACGTTGAATTCACTTCACAGACCTGTCTACTTTGTGAGAGCCACAATGTCTTGTTTGTTTGTTTGTTTGTTTGTTTGTTTTAGTTTATTAGTTGCCAATACTTAAAAGTTTAGAACTTTCACATTAAGGAGAGAACTGGCATCTCGGTGACCCACATTCCCAAGTGGCAAGAACTGGCTTGAGCTGAGTTGGCTGGAGCCAGTCCCTTTGTTGAGGACTCTTGCTCTTCACTTCATGAAAATCCCTACCGCTATCCCTCCCACAGACTGAGATGCGGGTCGATGGCCACTTACCACACTCTACTGGGCCTCCTTCTCTCATAGCCTGGCCTTTCTGGCCAGTGGGGTGGGAGGCAAACAAAGTCTGATCGATCGCCCTAGGAACTTGCGGATGCTTATTAATAGATGAGGCTTGGGGCATCTGTTGGAACTCCAAGCAGCTGAATTTAGAAATAACACAGGTTAACTATAGGGCGAAAGACCTTCACAGATCATCTCAAACTCTTCACTGTATAGAAGAGGACACTGAGGTCCCAGGAGGCTGAGTGACTTGTTTCGAACTCTAAGCTCCTTCCACTAGAAAAGCAGAAACAGGAAGCAGAAACAACTGCAGAAAAAGGAAGGACAGTGGGGACACTATCTTCCCTTCCCTCCCCGCCCTCCCCCTGCAGGCTCTGGCCAGCAGCCAACTGCAGCTTGCTGCATATTTAATTTAAACCTTTGTCTGCCCTGGCAAGGACAAAGTACAATCTGTTTTATGTAAAAAGTCTTCCCTGAGGAAAGCCTCAGCCTCCAGCTGCGAAACTGATTGATGTTCTTAAAGCCCCCAGGAACCTCTGCTGGGATCCCGGGCTGTGGTTTCCAAAAGAAGAGTTTGTGAAAAGGGAAGCACTGAAAACAATTTTTTTTTCTCCTTTATTGTGTTTCTCTTAATCTGGGAGAATTAAACTGAAACATGGGTGGGGAGGGGCATGCAAATAAAGACTGGATTTTAAAAGCAGATTTCAGAGTTCCACCTGGGAGGGGCTCGGGATGGCAATCTGTTCCGGGAGGAAGACTGGAGACTTGTCTGGAAGCTTTATTTGCATAGCAAGCACTCTGCTTTTACTTTGATTGCCCATTCCAATCAATAAAGGTACTAAAATATTCTAAAGAAGCTTTAGCCACCCTTGACGGAGACTGAAAACATTGATTTTTTTTTTTTTTTTTTACTTAGAGTGTCTGTGAAATGTTCTAACAGATTAAAATCCATTTTATTTTAAGAATGTTGTGGTTTTCCTGATATCCTTTTTAGGAGACCTTGTTTTGGGATGATGCTCTTGCGAAATCAAGGTCAGTTTTGAAATCCAGTCCTTGAGTTGCCCCTCAGTATTCCTGAGTCAGTCAGGGTCAGGGGAATGTTCGCCAAGTTCCTGCTCCATCCCTTGATATCTTCGGGACAGATCTCTACACCAGTTCAGGGCTCAATGCACACAGAGCAACACCGAAGTGCCCCCCCCCCCCCCAACCCCAGAGAGGGCTGAACCACTACACAAGTTCTTAGAGGGACCCTGGCTAACCCTGGAAGACTGGCCCTTCCTGCTGGCCCCTAGCCCCACCTACAGCAGGCTGTTTGTCAGGCTCGAAGGAGGGCATGGGTCAGGGCCTGCCTTCACCTTCTGGCTCAGGGAGTCCAACTTCAGCTTGGAGCCAGAACAAAGCCACTGCTAGGTCAAGGCTAAGGCACTTGGGCTGGTCTTGGGAGGGAGCCAGGACCCAGAAACCATTGCCATGAGCCACCAGCTGGCTCTGGGCCCAGGAACATGTGCAGCTGCTATGCAGACCAGACTGGGCCTGCAGACTGTCCCCGTGCCAGCCGCTCCATTAGGCCTCCCAGTCTCTCTACTTCCGGCAGGCTCACGCCCAATGGCCTGTGTACTTTGGCATCAGCCTGCTTTTTGGTGTGTCCTGAGATGACTGAATAAATCTTCAGAAAAACCATGAGACCTGCTGTTTCTTATCACTGTGGACATTACACTGTTGTTCTAAAAATCTGTAGAGGACAAGGTGTACAGTTGCAAATCTTCTCTGAAGTTCATTAGCCTGATGAAAATAAAAGCATCGACTATTTCACTTAACTCCGTGTGGTCTGATTCCAGTGCCTGTTGTCATTAGTATTCTAACAGGAACAACCTAGGCGTCCCCATATGCGCTAGTGGTGGGAGCAGACTGGTGAACAGCCACATGCACAGCTGCTTCTGGGAGTGTTTCCCGGTATCTTGGATATTAAGCTTCGCTAATACAGTTAACAGCAATACAATTACATTGAGAAGAGGTCAAAAAGGGGAAATCTTTATTTCAAAAACATTGTATTGCTCCTTTTAAATGTTAGCTCACCTTCTGTATCAGTGGCTATTCTCCAAGGCGACAGGTCCAAGGACCTTCTGGGAATTTGTTCTGAAAGATGGAGTTTCCTTTCTTTCCAGTATTGTCCCCTCCCAAACATGTTCGATCATCTCCAGCCTGGGTACAAAGTCCAGCATTTTGATGGGCTGCACTTAGTCCATCTTTAGATTCTTTCATCACCAGGGAAAGGCCTGTACAACATCTCAGTACATTTTGGCCTTAAGGCATGCCACCAGAGGAGAATAAAGGGCAGGATTCCGCAGTGGGGCCAGCAGGATCAGTCCCATGGAGAGCCGCCCAGTAGGGTTTAAGTTATAAAGACAAATTAAACAAGGTCTCTATGCCCGGGGTAACTCATAATCTCGGGGAGGCCATAGTATGTTGCTTAACAAGGTGTTAAGTGTAAACTAGCAGTGTGAACCAAGTGCTAGGGGAACTCAAAGGAAGCAATGATTAATTGTGCTAGGTATGGGGATTAAAGATCTGGGAATGTTTCCCAGAGAGAATCATAGCTGAGCTGAAATTTAAAGGAAGAGCCAGCTTTGATCATGAGGAAATTTAGTGGGCAGAGTGCTCAGCAAGACGTATTCCAGGAGGCGGCACGGTGCAGAAGACTTCTAGACACTGAGAAGTGATGATCCACGAAGTACTTGGAGCGCAGTAGGCCATTCGGTATGGTTGGAGTCGGCCGGCCTGTCCCCCCACACTTGTTTACACCCCCTCTGATAAGTTGCTCTCTCGCTTTCCCTATTTCAGGGCCCCTCTCCTGGAACATACATCCATATTCCAGTAGCAGCCTCTCCTTAGATCAATGACAAGCTGAGATCGCAGACTTCTGCTCTTCCTGCTGACACTGTCTTTGTACATGTCTCGAATAAAGCCTGTTTCTAAATCCATACCACAGGATGTTGTAGAACGCTTTTCTGACCCTGGTGCTTTCTGACCACAGTAACCCATAAAGGCACCCACATTGCCCCCAAATAGGATGTCCTTGAAATGGAATAAACATTTTGCCATTGTCAATCATGACTCTTTACGTCCTAACAGAAAATCCAACTAAAACTGGCTATAAAATTAAAGGGAATTTTTGGTCCCTGTAACTGCTGGGGTGGATATAGGGTAGTTAATCCAAAGTTTCAATGCACTTGTCAATAGCCCAGTTCTTTCTGTCTCTTTGCTGTGCCTTCTGTAGTGTCCACTTCATCCTAAGGCAGACTTCCCTAATAGATGTAGGAAGGCTGCCGGTCATAATCATTTCTCAAACATTCACATCCAGTGACAGAAAGGCTTCCAGATCAGCATGCTAAGCCAGTGTCCTG